GATGATGGAGTTTTGAGATTGCAGGGCCGAGTCTGTGTGCCCAATGTGGATGGTCTTCGAGAGTTGATTTTAGAGGAGGCCCACAGCTCTCGGTACTCTATTCATCCGGGCGCCGCGAAGATGTACCAGGATTTGCGGCAGCATTATTGGTGGCGGAGAATGAAGAAGGATATCGTTGCATATGTGGCTCGGTGTTTGAATTGTCAACAGGTCAAGTACGAGCATCAGAGGCCCGGTGGTTCATTTCAGAGGATTGAGCTTCCCGAGTGGAAGTGGGAGCGGATCACTATGGACTTCGTTACTGGACTCCCACAGACTCGGAAGAAGTTCGATGCAGTGTGGGTCATTGTTGTAGGCTGACCAAGTCAGCACATTTCATTCCTATGGCAGTCTCCTACTCTTCTGAGAGGTTAGCTGAGATCTATATCCGGGAGATTGTTCGTCTTCATGGTGTGCCTGTGTCTATCATTTCGGACCGAGGTACGCAGTTTACCTCGCGTTTTTGGAGAGCAGTTCAGCGAGAGTTGGGCACACGGGTTGAGTTGAGCACAACATTTCATCCCTGGACGGACGGGCAGTCCGAGCGGACTATTCAGATTTTAGAGGATATGCTCCGAGCTTGTGTTATTGACTTTGGAGGCTCGTGGGATCAGTTTTTGCCTTTAGCGGAGTTCGCCTACAACAACAGCTACCAGTCGAGTATCCAGATGGCTCCTTATGAGGCCTTATATGGTAGGCGATGTCGGTCTCCCGTTGGATGGTTTGAGCCGGGGGAGGCTCGGTTGTTGGGTACGGATCTGGTTCAGGATGCCTTGGACAAGGTCAGGATCATTCAGGATAGGCTTCGTTCAGCTCAGTCCAGCAAAAAAGTTATGCCGACCGCAAGTTTCGAGATTTGGCTTTCATGGTCGGTGAGCGAGTATTGCTTCGAGTGTCACCTATGAAGGGTGTGATGAGATTTGGGAAGAAGGGCAAGCTTAGCCCTAGGTTCATTGGTCCGTTCGAGGTTCTTGATCGAGTGGGAGAGATGGCTTATAGACTTGCGTTGCCGCCGAGCTTATCAGTCGTGCATCCAGTGATTCATGTGTCCATGCTTCGGAAGTATCACGGCGATCCATCCCACGTATTAGATTTCAGTACTGTCCAGTTGGACAAGGACTTGTCTTATGAGGTGGAGTCAGTAACTATTCTAGACTGGCAGGTTTGTCAGTTGAGATCGAAGAGTTTTCCTTCTGTTCGTGTTCAGTGGAGAGGTCAGCCTCCTGAGGCATCGACCTGGGAGTCTGAGTCCGATATGCGAAGCCGTTATCCTCATCTTTTCCCCGACTCAGGTATTTCCTTCTTCTGTCCGTTCGAGGACGAACGGTTGTTTTAGAGGTGGAGAATGTGATGACCCAAAAGGTCATCACTTTTCTTAAATTGAATTCTGTGTTTTCGAGGCCTTGAAAACCTCATTTATCATCACCTTGATTTGCGTGCGCAGTCCGGGCGCGTAGCCGGAAAGCTTAAATATGATAATCTGTGAAAAATGGTAAAATTTGGTTATAAAATGAGTTAATTTGACTTCGGTCAACGTTTTGGGTAAACGGACCCGGACCTGTGATTCGACGGTCCCGGGGGGTCAGTAGGAAAATATGGGACTTGGGCGTATGCCCGGAATCGAATTCCGAGGTCCCAAGCCCGAGAAATAAAATTTTAAAGAAAATTGTTTTCTGGAATTGTTTAAAGTATTTTGAAATGAAATTTGCTCAGAACATGATGGTATCGAGCCCGTATTTTGGCTCCGATGCCCGGTACATGTCTTATATATGATTTAAGATAACTCTGTGAAGTTTGGTAAGAAACGGAGTCCGTTTGACGTGATTCGGACCTTAATTGCAAAATTAATGTTTAAAGAAGTTTTGAGAAAATTTCATTGATCTTGAGGTTTAATTTGATGTTCATGATGTTATTTTGATGATTTGACTACACGAACAAGTCCGTAGGATGTTTTTGAGGTGTTGTGTGCACTTGGTTTGGAATTCCGAGGGCTCGGGTGAGTTTCGGGTTGGTTCCGGGATATTTTAGGCTTAAAATCAGAGCTGTTGCAGGATCAGGGAAGTGGAAGGCCTCTGAACAGGCCAGTGCGGTCCGCACGATATGGACTGCTGCCGCGGAGGAGCCTGTGCGGCCGCACTAGTTTTCGTGCGGTCCGCGGTGAAGAGCATTCCACTGGTCTGACTTCGGAAGCCTATATCTTTTGATATACAAGGAATTTTGAGATGATTCAAAAACGAAAGTTGTAGCCCTTCGTGTCTAGTTTCCAGAAAGGTGAAGAAATCACAATTTGGACGTCTGTAGAGAAAGTTATGGCCAAAATCCTAAGACCTGTCACTGCAGAACCCAGGGAAGCCTGTGCGGCCGCAGTTGATTTTGTGCGGTCCGCACAGGGCATCTGAGCGCAGTATATTTAGACGGGATTTTCAGTTATTTTTCATTTTTCAAAGCCCCAAAAACATAAGAGGCGATTTTTCAAACAACCTTTCTTCTCCAAATCAATTGTAAGTCGTTTCTAACTAGTTTTCTTCAATCATTAACATCTTTTAACATGATTTCAACTTCAAATCAATGATTTTCACTGGGAGAATTGGGTGTTTTGGGTAGAACCTAGGCTTTTCAAAAAATGGGATTTGGACCTCGATTTGAGGTCCGATTTCAAAATAAATTATATATTTGGGTTCGTGGGGGAATGGATAATCGGGTTTTGGTTCGAACCTCGATTTTTAACCACGTAGGCCCGGGGGCGATTTTGACTTTTTGGGTAAAACTTTGGAAAATCCATTTTCATGCATTCAAATTGATTCATTTAGCATTTATTGATGTAATTAAGTAACTTGTTACTAGATACAAGCGAATTGGCAGTGGGATCAAGGGGTAAAGCTATAATTGAAACTTGAGTTGTGTTCGAGGCATCGAGGTAAGTTTCCGGTCTAACCTTAGCTTGAGGGATTAGGAGTTGTGTCCTATTTGCTAGTTGCTTCTTGTTGAGTACGACGTATAGGCATGGTGATGAGTATCTATACGTTGGTGTCGAGCATGACCGTGAGTCTTGAATTGATAGTTATTGTGTTCTTGAATGATACTACGGGTGTTAAAATTGATGGTATCCGATATTGAGCAAAGATTTAGTTTATTTTCGTGGACTTTACTTATGATTGAGGATTGGTACTAATTGAGCTGAGTAGGAGCTGAGTTAGGATTGGTTATAACTGATTCTCCTTTGCCGGTATGTTTGTCTTAAATATTGTTGTTCCCTTGCCGGGAAGTTATTATATTGCTTTGTTCCCTTGCCGGGATTCCTTATAATTGTGTTGGCTTGTAAATGGAATCGGGTGGTACGCCTACCACGAGATATGATGAAATGGGATCGGGTGGTACGCCTACCACGAGATATGATGAAATGGGATCGGGTGGTAAGCCTACCACGAGATATGATGAAATGGGATCGGGTGGTACGCCTACCACGAGATATAATGAAATGGGATCGGGTGGTACGCCTACCACAAGGATATGAGAAATGGGATCGGGTGGTACGCCTACCACAAGGATATGAGAAATGGGATCGGGTTGCACGCCTGCAACGAGATGTGAACCGAAAGTGTAAATTGTCTTTGTTTTCCTTATCCTTGATAGAAATTGATTTTTGGTTTCTTGATAATTCTCTTGAGATTCTGTTTTATCTGTTACTCCCCGAAGCATGTTTCCCCTTTCACAGCTTCAAATTATTTGTTCTAGTTTATTTTCCGTTGTACATATATATATATAACTGCACAGGTTTATCTGGAGTCTGGTCATAGCCTCGTCACTACCTTGCCGGGGTTAGGCCAGGCACTTACCAGCACATGGGGTCGATTGTGCTGATACTACACTCTGCACTCTGTGCAGATACCGGAGTAGTACTGGGGCAGCAATAGTAGTTTGGGAGCCAGCCTTCAGTCCACAGAGATCCCGAGGTCGGCGTCTCTTCTATTCACTATTATGTTCTGTTATCATTTGTATCCGAGACAGACTGAGTTTCTTTCTTTCAAACATTTTGTATGTAGTAATCATAGTTAGTCCATGAATGTTGTGGTACCGGTTTCTTGGTAGAGACATATGTTGGTTATTAGTAACAATTTGGTATTATATTTGTCTAAGTCTTCCGCTTAAATTTTCTTCTTCCGCTATTATTTCTCTGTTTATCACCTGTTATTATCAGTGATTAAAGGTATTAAAAATGAAAAGGGTTAAGATTTCTAATTTCATGGCTTGCCTAGCTTCTACGAGTAGGCGCCATCACGACTCCCGAGGGTGGGAAATCTGGGTCATGACAGCGAATGTGTACACAGTCACGATGATAGACTAAGTCGGGCCTAAAGCAAGCTGCGAATATTCATTTTAGAAACCGTAATCATGTCATGCGAACGTGTACACAATCACGATAATTTGATTAGAAAGCGTCTAAAGCATTTTTAGAATATTGATCAATTCACTGAGTCACTATTGGGAAACTTTGTTAGAATCTATACATTTGTATTACCACAAGGTGGAACAGTCATAAGCATTTAAGTATCCCAGTTATGGATTTCAACAAATAAAAATGGAAGTCGAAAATAAGGGACGGGTCTATTACGACCTTAAGTTGCTAGGCAGTATGCTGCGGGGCCCATTTAATTTGCACGAGAATAACAACTAAGTTATCCCTTGCGAACCAGAACTTTCACATAACAATCCAAACCAGTAGAAGAATATTAGGATTTGCACAATTAATTTTAAACCATTAACTACTCTTCACAATTAATCTTGTCACTACTTAAAATTACATCATGCTATTAACGTGATAATCAGCATATTCCAGACGTACTCATGTGCATCACAAATTATTGCAATCAGAATCTAGGTAGATGAACAAAACTCAACATAAGCTAACCAAATCTCATTCATAAATTCAAATAAGTACAGAAGGGTGAATGTTTACATACCTACTTGGGTTAAAATTGACATTCGAGGAATCCAAAACAAATAAAGGCCAAATTGACAAGTTGGAAATCAATCACACCTTAAGTAGCTGCAAATTTCTTCAGTATTCGACTAAATACAAAGCCTCCAAAGAACTGAAAATCGGCAACTCAAACGGAACCTCCGATCCAGACCTCAGAAACCCGCCGAAACCGCGACAAAACTCAACAACGGGACTCGTCGTGAACTCAAACCACTCAAACAAACTCCATTTGGAAGAGCGAAAATCCGAAACTGGAAAGACGAAATAGAATTTTTTTTTTTTTTATGTGTTCTGTTTTATGGTTGTCTTGTGAGTTGGTTTTGGATGTTAAAATAGTAAAAGAAACTGGTTTTTTATTGGAGCTTAGGACAGAAAGGAGACGGGAGTTTTTGCTTTCTCTGTTTTCGACGTCTCCTTCCCAGGTGCCCTCTATTTCGTCTTCTCACTCCATGGACCGACGGCCATGGTGGTTGCCCGACTTCCGGCCAGATCCATCACCAGCGAGCCTAAAGGGAGACGCGAAATGGGCTAGCGGCTGCTCTCAAGTGAAAGAGAGAGGGCGCTGATGGACAGGAGAGGACGGAGAATATTTAATTTGCACCAAAATGGAAACGGGATGTGGGTGTGTTATGGTTGGAGACGAAAAATCCAGAGGGCTGAAGGGTTCTTTTTGTTTTGTGTTCCCGGAAGAAGATGAAAGGGGAGGGGAGTTCCTTTTTCAGCGGCTCCTCCGCCTAGGTCTAGGGGTTTTTAGGTCTTGTATATGTGTATAGGGTGCTAAAGGTTTGGGCTTTTTGGGTTAATGGGTTAAGAAATTGGTTTAATTGGGCTAAAAGCAAGACAAAAATTAGTCCAAAAAATTAATTCTATTCCCTCCTCCCTTTTTTGTATGTAAAAATAATATAGCAAACAAGATAAACTATTAAAAATACTAATTAATCTTACTTATGAAAATAACTATTAAAATAAAATTAACCGTTAAAACAAACCTATTTTTTTGGTATTTTTTTCAAGATTAAAAATGACTACAAAACAGTAATGAAACTAATTTTTTTGTAATTTTCATTTTTGTGATAAAATAAAGGGGTCAAAACTAGTTAAAATATCGATATTAGACCTAAACTAAATATTTATATGCTAAAATATGTAAAATTTTGGGGAGGGTCAAAAATCACATGTCTACAATAGGTACTACGTATTGTACAAGATCAGGTAAGATGAAAAAGAGAAAGAAACTCTAAACTATTTTATTTTTGTTATAAAACAATAAATGAAGAAGAAGTGTATTGTAGAAAAAAGTAGAGAGAGAGAATTCTCATTGATATGGGATGAATTACAATGGAATAGGACCCCTCTATTTATAGGGGAAAAGCGACTTAGCCACCAAGTAACAAGCCTTAAAATCTCTCTAAAATATAGACATTCACCTTAAATAGAATTCTATTTATAACACTCCCCCTTGAATGTCTATCTACCAGATAATGTGCCTCGTTAAAACCTTAACTAAAATAAAACCCAGTGGGATAAAAATTCTAGAGAAGGAAAAAGAGTACACATATCTAACAATACGCCTTTTGGTTGCCTCGTTAAAACCTTGCAAGGAAAACCCAGTGGGACAAAACCTTGTAAGAGAAAAAGAGTACAACGCGTATTAACTCCCCCTGATGAGAGCATCAATTCACATCCTTAAGCATTTGCATTTCAATCTTGTGCATCATCTTCAAAAGATCTTTGGTAGAGATTTGATAAACAAATCAGCCATATTAACTTGAACGTATTTGTTTCACCTTGAAATCATCATACCTAATAGATGTATTATCTTCATATGATCTTGTTAGAATCGCCAGTTCAATATCTTCACATAGAGGTGAAAACTCTTGCTATCATATTATCATGCCTATAGTTATAGCAAGATAATTTGTGCACAAATTGCACTGAGGAAGTGGCACTCCAAGATCAAGAATTGTATATGCTTCAAGCAACTTAAATCCTTCATGGATTGTCATATAAGTTAAGTCATATAAGCCATATAGTAGACTTTAGATGCATATCAGGTTTTCATGTCATGCTAGACATATAAGATATCGAAAACTGATTGCACATACCATTGACTTTATACGTTCAAGTGTTTGAACTATATGTCCAAAACTACATGTCTTTCATATGAAACCATTTTATTCGAAATTGTTTCTCCAGACTTAAGATCCTCATATATATTTAGCGGTATCATAGATGTTGTCGACGAACATTTTATATCGGTTTCAACATTTTTTAATAAAGACATAACATAGAGATCTCTTCATTCATTTCTGGTACCTAAGCCTCTCTTGAGATTTTATGAAGTATTATGTCATGTGATCTTCTAGATCACTTGTCTCCTATATTATGATTATTTTGATCATTTGCTCATCTTTTTTATCAAGAAGTTTATTTGAAACCAATTTGTCTATATGCTTTAAGTGTACCATAGACTTTGTCCTTCTAGGACTTAGTAGGAGCATTTGCAATGAGAATATACTTACTTTCTTTGGATCAGCAAATGCGTCTGGCATGCTATGCAATATATTGCAAATGAATTATCATTTTATGAATTTCAAGTTCATATTATTTATTCGAGGATCTAGATGCACAAATGATAATTCATTCCGCGTAACTTTTTCTCAAATGTTTATCATCTCTCCCCTTCATGTTAGAAAAACTAACTTGCTTCCTCAACTTTGGGAACTCATCTTTGTGCGTTATGGTGTTAATCAAAATATACACCGCACATCAATAATAATAAGATGGAATTATTTGGTTCCTGACCCTGAACCACTTGTGAGGTGAGAAAATAATATACTTTCGTATATAACGTATATCAAACTGATATATATAACTTTGTTCTTATAAGAAATAGTTTAAATATTAAGTGGGGGCACTCAATAAATCATTTTGCTAAATCAACTGTGATGTAAACCAACTTATCAAGAAGAACTATCTTGAATAAAAATTCTGGAAATTGTGCTCTAAATTAAATTATTGAGCAAGTTACCTCGCAAACACCAGGTTGCGGGTCAATAATAATTGCACATGTAACCATCTCATAGACGCATATTATGTGGTATACGTGGCAGGTGAATGGGCCCATATTCACCTTCGATATTTCCAGCATTCATGGGATTCAATCCCAATTTTAGTTGGTCAATTAATTAATGAGAACAAGCAATATAAGAGAATTCGTAAGAACTTTCTAGTTCTTTAATATTTACCCATGTGAATTCTCTATTATTTTTGCACATCATACTTAAATTAATATGGCTAAACCAATTATGTCAACTGAATAAATTATCAATATTAATAAACTTCATATTTACACCATGATGTGTGCAATTATCAATAAACTTCAAGTTTATTATGATATGGGTTTTTATATCGATAAACATCCACTTTAGTGTGGTATTCTTTTATTTGTGTAGTACAAACTAGAGAATAAAGCGGGTAGCTTTTCACATACATATTATCCCGCTACAAGTAGTAGTAATAGAAGATATTAAATCTTTTCTTTATGTATAGTCTCAATATAATCAACCGCTTTCGCGTATACTTTGGAAACTGAATAAGTTTCTTTGAGACTTACTACAACACAATACCTTATTGGTAATCAATTGTGTTTCTCCAAAATAGTATAACTGGCTTTTGCAGAGTTCTCAATTAATTTTGTAGTACCACATATTCATCAACATCCATATGGTGAATATCTCTTTTAAAGAGAAAGTCATACTATTATGGTTATGGTCAAAGTTATATGCAAGATCTGTTTCTTGCATTACCGTTGTCTTTTAATAATCACAATGCCAAAATATTTTGGCGTACAATAAGTACGTGACAAATGACCATTTATGCCATAATAATGACATTATTTTCTTATATCATCTCAAACCTCCTTCTAGAGGTGAGTGTGGTATATTCACTACCACTAGCACGTCCATATTCTTCCAAAAATGAATATGCATTAAGAAATCACATGTTGTCACATTCACATCATGAATGGACCATAATCATTTATATGTGCTTTACAAATTTTATTTCAAATCGATGACAAACATCACTTTCACAGAGTGAAGGATTATTTTGAGAAACCTTATTATTCTCATTATCACAATGATGACGATTATAATTTTGTCTATTACCTGTCACACCTCCTTTTTTACACACCTACCCCCGAAGGATAGTGTATAAGGGTGTTTTCCCAATTAAAGTGACATTATTCGAAATGAGATTATTTATTTATTCAGAGTCGCCACTTGGGATAGGTTTGGCTTTTGGTGTCCCAAGTCACCGGTTTATTTTGAATCCCAAATCGAGGAAATTTTCGACTTTCCAAGTGAAGTCTGCGAACCAGAAATTCTTGAGTAAGGAATTCTGTTAACCTGGGGGAAGGTGTTAGGCACCCTCGGATTCCGTGGTTCTAGCACAGTCGCTTAAACTATCATATTTGGCCTATTACCTGATTTTAACACATGTTTCAACCTATAGTGCAATTTTAAATTATTTACCGCTTTTATTTAATTTTAAGGAGAATTGCAACGTTATTAAAATATATCTCGAACCACGTCACATAAATGCACCCGTGGTTTTTGATATATTTTAACATCGTTGGGACTTGGATTTGGGTCACATAAATGCGCACCCGAGTTTAGGAAAGTAAAATTATTAAAGAACTCGCCTAAAGTGACTAACGCATTATTAACTTTGCGGGAGGCCATGAACATTCGCTAAATGGCACGTCCCGAATTCTAAGGATTTTTTAAAAGATAATTATTGAGGGCCACGCAATTTGTGAATTTTGTTTGGCGCGGCGCACCTCGATTTATTTTAAAGGCCACCCTAAAAGGAACTATTATTCTCTATTAAGGATTGTCTCTAAAAACTTAATTAATTAACATTATTCAATAACTACTATTAAAAGCATTCAAGGAAATTAGGGCCCCAAGATCAAGTCCAAACCCAAACAAGAGGATCTTCCTTATTGAATACCCCTTAATTCAAATTTGCTACTTAACTTGAAAGGCCCAAGCCTATATAATAAAAGTAAACCAATAACTCTAAATATGGATTCAGACCTTTAGTACATTGGGCTTCGAAAATTAGCCCAAGAGTGAGGAAAGTTCAATCAGCTCTTATAAGAAGCTGGCCAGCGTTGGGCCCTAACACAAGCCTAATTTGGAACCGTCCTTAATAGCCCACAATTCAGCAAAAATGCATTGGTTCAATGGTCTAGTAATACTTGGGCTTGTTAGCATGTAGCTAGGCCCAAATCTCAATTAGACGACAAGCTGTCATGCTGGGCTCATGAATGAGCCCAAACTCACTACTGATTTTCTTTGGATCTCAATAGTACTGATTTGAAATCAACTGGATCTAATGATTTTATAAACAAAGGAAAGATACAAGTTTATTCAAATCAAAGGCGTGTTGACCTTAAAGTCAAATCTCGCACACATTATTCAGCTCGTTTGTATATTGATGAACCGACATACTTGTTTCTGAAATTTATTCTCTAAAATAAAACAAAGTTCAACTTCATTTAACATATTCTTTAGAATTGATTCATGGACTGAAACGGGGAAGGAATCTACTGCAGCTCTCAATTGCAAACAAATGAACAACATGCATTAATCTAGAACTCTAGTCAAAGGCCCTCATCATTGAGTTATAGGGTTCAAACACTAAAACAGGGAATTATTTTTTACCACCTATTAAACCTGAGAAACAAAACC